TGTGGGACCTGACCACAAGCAGAGTGCGCAAGTGTACGGGAGGAGTTCTCTCCTCCCAGGCAAAAATCTCCGGTGTCCACCAGTACACAATAATCCTTGGAATCGAACCGGCGTGAGGGGGAAAATGGTTGCGTAACCCGGATTACATAAATAAATCCCACAATCACAAGAGCTTGAAACCATTAGGCCCCGATCAGGTACTCCAGAAAAATTTCCGCGCTGTACGTTATTATAGTATCATGAGTTCATTTTTTCCCCCTCGACTTAACGATTGCTTCGCGACCATCCTCGGCTTGTTCCAGTACACTACCCGAAATATCGACATGAACCGTGCTTTATTCACCCTTCCTTTCGTCAGTCACGCGTCACGGGGGTGCTTGACGTGACGAATTTTGGAACCTTGTCATGCATCACGGAGGTTCTTGACGAATATACTTTTCATCACGGTTGGTTCAAAATTTGGGTTCAGGGCTGCTCTGGGCGAATTTCCTTAGCTGCAGACACTCTCCCTACAATTTTCTCATCATTCTCAAGGTTTCTTGCTTCAAACCCCCCAAACATCGCATTTCAGACCAAATTCAACCGAAATTCAACGGTGAAAAATGGATTCTTCCTGTTCAACAGATTTGGTGAAATAAATTTCTCAGATGCTTGCTAATTCATCCTAATGGTTTCCTCTACATGCCTTGCAACCCCTCGAAATATTCCAGGGGTTGACGAAATTTTGGGGGTTGTCACGCAGCTGGGGACCCTTTGACGAATTGACGACATGGTATTTCGGGTCACGTGTCACACCCTTTGACGAATTGAATTTAATAGTACAGTACCCGTTCGACTCGGGTCCCCGCCATTTACTTCTTCTACTCTTGAACGCAGTATTGTAGAACTCACGGTGTTGATTATATTCTGGGATAACTTTGCTGCATCAGCAAATTGACAAGTCGTCTTTTACCGAGCTTTTTCTGCTTTTAAAAGACGAAAAGCCAAAAAAGATGAAAAGCACTCGCAGCTTTTTTAATCCAGGCCCCTGATCTTTTAAAAGCCAAAAAGGCCCCAAAAGCCAGTATAAGCTGCTATATAAGCCAGAGAAAAAGAGACCGAAAGAGCTCATAAAAGACACACGTAGACAGAAAAATCATTATATTGATGCTACGGACACAAATTCAGATATAAAGGTAGTTCCGGTCGATCCCATGTCAAGCGTTGACATTGCATGCCCTGGCGGCGAAGCTGTGTCTACACTACCCATTAGATCCAAGAACAGTGCGAGAACGAATGTGTACTCGGCTTGGTCGCGAGAGCGCAACAAAGGCCCGAGGACATGTGTGGACAGACACAGGATCAGTATTAAATAGAACGGATCGAGTTCCGCAACGTACCATATCACCCAACCGCTGCACAAGATCCCAACGAATGCCGAGTGCACCAAGCACACACTTAGAAGAGCATCAGCTGCTACCAAACAGCCACACTGTGGACGATCTCGGGCACTGGAGTGAAGAAATATCAGTAAGACAATGGAGGCAACACTGGATATCAAGGCCACATATGGCCAGGGAGCGACGTAGCACAAGGAGACGAGGAGGAAGCTGCATGGACAGGAGGGGCTTGACTGGGGCTTGAGAAGGATTGAGCGGGCTCGAGCTGGCTTGAGAGGGGTAGGGCTTGCATAGGCTTGCGGGTTTGCGGGCTTGCGTATACTAGGATGCCGCAGCGGAATCGGCGCCAGGAAGACAACTTGGAGGATTGGCATAATCATAGGACTTCAGAGATGGCATTGGGGCAGTGAGGATACAGGCAGTTGGAGGCAGTAGGACGGGCGCTGGGGGCGGTCGTGGTGGGAGGAAGAGAGAAGGGTCAACTTACATCACCATCATTCAATGCTGATTCGACCATCAAATCGCCCACGTGTGTCGGAGTTTGAATGACTTGGCGTTTCGAAATGTCGCTCGTGCCGGGCCTTATTTCCACCATCCCTTACACCATCCGCAGCGAGAACGGGTTATCTGAAGCCTTATGCACGTCACACCCATTCAATGGCACAGCGACTCGCCGCCTTCCATTTTTTTTTGCATGGTACTTGCATCGTCAACTTGAATTTTGATTGATATTCGTTTTCAACTTAAGTTGGGCTTGCGATGCGCAGTGAACAGCTGTTCGCCAACGGGCCTGAACACCAGTAAATACTTACAGCAAAATTTACACAGGATTTGTGTGATCTTGGAAGGAAAGAACTGAAAAGCTGAAAAGCGCTAAAAACCAAGAAAAGCATTACGAAAAGTGCAGGAAAAAAGCTGGAAAAAAGCTAAAAGCTCGAAAAGTGGGGGAAAGCTCAGATAAAAGCACTTGTCAATTTGCTGATGTGGCGCGTTCACCTTTCCCTCCTTCGTTCATCGCTCGTCCTCCCACTTTTATTCCACAAACCTCGACTCACACTGTTCGCACCCAGACGATAATACCGCTAAGCAGGGTACAGCACAAACGGCTCGCAGTTCCTCATCACGACGGTGGCCATGTCGCATGTGTCCTCCTCCAGCGCGCTTTACCTGCTGAAACAAAGCACTTGCAAGCTTGAGCGCTTGAGCTTCCGCATCGCCCTCGATTCTCTTCCCCTTTCGGCACGCTCAATAACATCCGGAACCCACGACTTCTCCCGCCGGCGATTAATCTCGACCGCGCCCCTCGCTCTAGCTTTATCTTGGTCTTCGTCTTCCCGTCCTCCACTGATCCCCACTCTGCCTCCTTCATGATCTAATCCAATCTGCGCCTGTTTACCTTCAATATCGCTCATGTCCACCCATCTTTCACTCGCCTTCCTGCATTCACTCGCGTCAGGTTCCTCCCCGCAACTGCGTTTACGTGCGCCTACCGCGTTTTCTCTCCTTCCCTCCCTATCTATTACTCATCGATATTCCCTCCCGGCTCGTTCCTTCCACCTATCCCTCGCATCTGCGTCTGCGCACGCTTACCGTGTTGCTTATCCTATCTATCTGTCTGTCTGTCTGTCTGTATTCCCTATCAGTCATCTGGAAAACACCGAGTGGCTAGGTAGCTCGGGATAGGCTCCAGTAGAGACAGAGCCGTAGGCATCCCCCCCCCTTCTATGTGAGCACGTATAGACTGGGATTCTCTACCGTAGCTTTGCTGTAGAGCTCGCGTAGAGCCCATAGAGTCGGCAATAATTCACGTGTATGCTTGATTGATGCATTGTCGCTCGGTTGTCGCGCTGCTTATTCAGGTTCGTTCTGCTCGTTCTGCGCTCAATTGGCCACCAAAAGTATGTGAAATGAAAATTTATTGCACCATTCTACGATATACACATAAGACGATAAGTACTGAGAAGGATCACCTGGATCACCAAAGCTTGACGCGGAGAAAGAAGGGAAACCATCAAGAAAATATCGCAGTGTGGCACGCGTTCGGACAGAATTGAAGGGGGATGCTTGGGGGGATGCCTCGAGGTTTAAGCTGTCTTGATTATTTGGTTGCTTGGAGCCTTGAAGAAGAAAACTGCGAGGAAATTTGAAGACGAGAGCCTGAGGTCTTGACTCATGAGTCTTGATAGGGATTGACAGAGCCTGGCTATCCAAGACACATTGAGGGGTTAGAGAACTTGAGCCAGGGAGAATGGCACTTTGACTCGAGAGCAGCATTGAGGGCGAAGCAGTGGTGGGGGGAAGAAAGAAACGACATGGAGATTTTGATGAAGTCCGCTATTTGAATGACGACTCGAAGCCGGTTCCTAGGTGGGAGGGTAATCTACCACAGGATTAGATAGGACCGAAGCAGCTGGGTAGACAGTGAAGCCTATGGAGATGCCGGCGCTCTATCGGGATAGACCAGAATGTAAGTGCCGGGACTCTGAATGTATGTATGTGCCGCCAATGGTATATAACCGCGCTTTATGGATTGCCTACCGAGTGACGTCGGCTCTATCGGGCTCTACTGAGACACTGCCACTCTACCGCGTGGGGACGGCATCTATCACAGAAAAAGCGTTTTCCAGATGCACCCTCTCTTCCTCAACCACCTGCGCCTAACCCTCCCCCGAATCCGCCTTGCCTCGCAACATCCCACTGTCAGTTACAGGCCGGGTTCGCGGCATCTTTTCCCAGTGCGTTAGTTGGTCTGAATCAGAATGAGTGTGCGCGTGTGAGTGGGAGCGCCACTCGAGCTGGGTACGGTACTTGCGCTTTGAAGTCCCATTTTCCCGCCGCTGGGATTTGTTCGAAGTTCGATCTGTATCCGGTCGGAAAGAGTCTGCCGGTGGGTTTACGGTGATGCCAGCAAGTGCGATTCAACCTGACCAGGTCGTCTTTGCGGCACATTTATTCCACGATGTGGGCAGGTCGGACTGTAGATGTTACCGACCTGGTGGCGGGTGGTCCGCATCTCCTTTCCTTGCTAAACAGGTCTTGACTAGTGAGGAGAAGGCGCCCGTTCGAGTCAGGCCTGGGTCATGTGGCTTCCCAATTTTCTTTTGGCTTTTTTCTTTTCCCCATTGATTTTTCCGTGGTTCGTTGCTTCGATTCGACTTTTACACTCGTTTTTAGGCAGCTCACTAAATACATGTACGTACCCCGCTCGCGGAACATTGAACAATTCATATTTAATTGATGACAAAAGCCGTTCGCCGTGGCTAGCTCTAATCCCAGTTCGTTCGCTTGTGTTGTTTATGCACGATGCAAGGGCGACATGGACCCAGTTGCGGATGGTCCGCGTCTGCTTACATTATGATGTTAAATGGTTATCAGCAGAAAGAGCCCGTTCGATTCGGGCCTGGGTCATACGTAGGCGGCGACACACTTTTTTTTTTGGTTCTTTCCATACTGAGATTTCGCGCTGAACCTCGTATTACTCGCAGTTCACACATATTACCTCCGCAAAATATCGAGGATCCAACCATTATTCAGACTTCATGACAAAATCCGTGCGCCGGGGCTAGCTCTAATCCCAGTTCGTTCGCTTGTGTTATCTATGCGCGATGCAAGGGCGACATGGACCCAGTAGCGGATGGTCCGCGTCTGCTTGCATTATGACGTTAAATGTTTATAAGCAGAAAGAGCCCGTTCGAGTCGGGCCTGGGTCATGAGTAAACCGCTACGTCTTTTTTTTTTTCGTTCTTTCCATACTAAGATTTCGCGCTGACTGGCCTCGTATTACTTGCAGTTCACACATGCTACCTCCACAAAATATCGAGGATCCAACCATTATTCAGTCTAATCCCAGTACTAGTTCGTTCGCTCATATTTGTGTCAATTATTCAGTCACGCTCGATGCAAGGGGGACATCGACCCAGTGGCGGATGGTCAGGGTCTCCATGTCTTCAAATTCCACCTTCAATATGAATTTGCTCGTTCGATTCGGGCTGGGTCATCCATATGGCAGAATTCCATTTGTTTCTCGCTCTCTCTTCGTTTCCTCGGTCTCCTGCTTTGCTTCGAAGTTTACACTGACCAGCTTCGTTTGCCTTGCAGTACACTGTACTCTTCGAGGGTCTCTCACCTATCGACACCTTGTGAGTCGTGACTCGGATTCATCCCCCCTTTCCCTTCGAAGGTACTATTGCAGGTTTTGACTCTTTCTGGTTGGTTCCTCATTGTGTCCAGGTTCGAGATTCATATGGAGGGATACGGACCCAGTGGCGGATGATTCGCATCTCCAGCGAAATACGTGCTGGGCAAGTGCGGAGGGGTCGCCTGTTCGATTCGGGCCTGGGCTATGCGTTACAATCCGCGTACATTTTACTGACCAACTCCATTTATTCCCAGTACCCACTAACCAGCACACGAATGGAGAGAGAAGCACCGCTGCACGCCGCACCGCGCGGTAATCAAGAATATGAGTTAGATACGTGCATAGTTGCGTTTCAAAATGCTCGAGAGATTCTCAGGAGCGTCCGGAGTATCGTGATCCCCGCGAAGAGACATTTTTCCGCATGTCTCAGGTAGCTAATAAGCAGTTGATATATCCCAGAGAGCTTCGGTCTTCCGTGTTACCCTCGAAATCGGTGGGAGACGCAAGGTGGGGACTGCGATGTTCACGAAATACACGATGGAGTAGTGGTCGAGCGACATTCGCACGTGAACCCAAGACGGACCACAAAAGGATCAGCGGTTGGTCGTAAAGGAACCGTACGGTTCTTTGTGGCTATTCAGGATAATGGGGTGACTCGGCATCGTTATCTGGCGTTCGTATTGTATCGTCACCACCAGATTGCATGGTTGGTGACACTCTCTTCGGTTAGTATTTCTTTCAAAGAGACAGTCACGGGTAGTGCTCGCCAAATACGAATACGATACGCCATTTGCCGTATTGTATTCACCTACCGGTGTAGTGGTAGGATGTGCGGGTGATCGGCACGAGGTTCCGGCTTAGTCAGTATCACCTGTGCACCTTGTCCTCCACCACAGCTATATATCCCTTTGCGTAGCGATATCGCGGGGTATCTGGTGTTTTGGGCTATTAGCCATTCAGTCTGGCCGTCTCCACCGGAGGCCGTATCGTATTTGTAGCGTATCGTGTTCATATTTTTGTGACTGAATATGAATATATTTTGAATATATTCGGATATATTCTGGGTTGCTCTAGTTAGAAAAAAGGACATTTAGATTGGGTTGGAACATGATGTGAATGATGGCAGAAATAATAGATGAATCTCCAGAGGTCAACTAGAACAGAGAAGGGTCAGGATGGATCTGTGATGGGTCTGTGTTGAGGCTTGGCCAAATCACGCCGGTTTTGATTGCAACGGTGTGGCAGGGTCGGAGGGCCCGCATGCGGAAATTGGTATTTATCTATCCTACATTCTTATTTTACATTTGCCCTTATTTTACGTTACATCATCTGTTTGTACCGTAAACAGGGACCCACCGTGCAATCTTACCTTCGTACCACCATCCTCGCGACCAGTGCAGGGCAAGCGCCCAGAGGTAGCATCGGGGCACCTCGACCCTTCCACTTAGGAACATCGCCAGTGGGCTTTTAGCCATCAAAACTCCCAAATTCCGCATCACGACATCGCCCTATTTTCCTCTCATTTTCGCACTTTCATACTCTCTCATCGACCCATTTCCATAATCTGCGGCTCAAGACATTATTACACATTCTTATTCCAAATTCTACTCTACAGCTAACGGACTACCGACCCATTTATCGAATCTACGTCTCGGGAACTCCCCTCTACCACAACGGATGTTCGAATGTCCGGCAGTTTGCAGATCTTGAACCGGAGCAGCGGCTCTGGGCACATCCGAATCAATTTTGAAGTCCGCCTGCTGGGACTTAATGATCCGACTCGTGCCGATCTCAGTCATTAGGCGGCGAAAACGGTGCTTGACCGGATTCAAATATATTTGAATACGGTTGGGCCAGTATCGTATTATATCCTTATCGTATCGTATTCATATCCGGTCGTATTCATATTCAGTCGGAGGTCTGGGGCCGTATCGTATTCGTATATATTTGAATATGTATATTCAAACTATATTTTCCCGTATCGTATTTTTGGCCAGCACTCAGCTGCTCAGCACCGCTAAACTCGTCATGTCCAGTGCCTAGAATTGTGCAATTATCCTTGCCCGGAATTGAGGTGGATAAGACGGGGGAGCACGGTGTGCCCCGATTTATTTTACCGGTTGCAATTGAGTCATGAATGATACTCGGGACTCTACCATTGGAATGTAGTCGTTTGTTCCTTCCATCTTTTCTTTTGCGGCTCTGAGCCGTTACGCTCACTGTTTGCAATGAAATCAGCTTACAGCTATTTGCGGAACTTAGGGCGCGGATCATTTTTTTCTAAAAATTGATGTTTTCACTAATACCCCTCTACCAAGCTCAGTTTTCATCCGATTGCCTTGGAACCTGGACGAATCGATTCGGAATGTCCTTCTACAGTGCTTAGGACCCTCCAATGAAGGCGAACATTATTTGTTACTGTTTGGTCCAAAATCCTGGGACTTTTTAATACGATCCCTCTGTGCATTGCAGGAGACCTCTGAAGGTGCTGGAGCTTGAGTACAGGCATCTTAAGGACGTTCTACAGTGCGCTGGATTGTTTGTAAAGCAATAGATAATGTTCGGGATAAGTATTGAGGCCGTGAAATATAGGTCACAAGATACCCGTAATTTCTCAGCTTGTTTCACCGGTTTCCACCCTCCAATGATGATCTAAACTACCCTAAGCACTGGATATTATGCTTAAGATGGTCTAGCTTGATCCCGGGAGCCCCAAGGTCACTTGTTACAATGATACAGGGATCATATTAAAAAGTCCCAGGATTTTGGACCAAACAGTAACAAATAATATTCGTCTTCATTGGAGGGTCATAAGCACTGTAAAATGACACTCCGAATCGATTCGTCTAGGTTTCAAGGAAATCGGATGAGAACTGAGCTCGGTAGAGGGGTATTAATAAAAACATCAATTTTTAGAAAAAGAAATGATCCGCGCCCTAAGTTCCGCAAATAGCTGTAATCTTTGTTAACACTGGACTGGGATGTTTCGTCGCTGACTGATCCGAGGTAAACTCAAATCAAACATTTGCCCGAATTGCGCCCCCGCTTTTATCCCGTTCATTCGCTCATATTTGTGTCAGCTATTCAGTCACGTACGATGCAGGGGGCCACAGACCAGTAAGAGTCGAAGCATCTTTGCGGATATTTTACCAGATTCCTTGGCGGCTCTGGCTGACCCACGGCACAAAATGCACTGACCAATGGACAGCTTCCGCTGGGCAGTGGTGTACTTCGCGTCTGCACAAAAAGACAACAAGCCCGCAAACAGATTAGAGGCTCTTCGGCGACTTGCAGATGTACACACAATGATGGGTGATGATGAGACAGCTCTTGATCTTTTCCAAGCCGCATTGAAGGGAGGGACAAGCATGGGCATACATCGTCTCAGAGCCGAGTGTATGGTTGGAATTGGGGATATCATGCTCCGGCGTAGAGATAGTATGCAAGCGATGGACATGTGGAAAGCTGCGCACCCACTCTTTGTTCGTTCGTCGGGCCGGAAGGATGCTGAATTGGTTAGGCAGCGACTTCAAAAACTCACACAGTCACGCTCCGCGATCCGGGATGAAAATAATGAGGAATTAACGACACCGACGAAGGTTGTACTTCCTCTCAACCTGGAAAAGCCAAAGACTCTGTCCCCACCATGCACCTCTCCTTCGCTGCAGGTCACAGTCGAAACCGATGACGATTTTGAAATTCACCTGATGAAAGAAGGAACTAAGGGCCCGGTAATCAGGCAAGTAAACTGCACGTCAATTTTTTCATCCATACACGATGCTAGTACCAGTACATTCGATATGTACCTCACACAATTTGTGATGTCCTTCATTCACTGCGTTCAAGGCCCCCCTAGACTTACCATCTGGCAAGGTCTCTATGCTTAGCTGGGCAGACCACATCTGTCTATGGGCCTACACAATCTCTGTGTAGCTCTGTCTAGTTCTGTGTAGCTGTGTGTAGGTCTGCCAAGGTATGTATATGTCAGGCTAGGTCTGCCTAGCTTCCTGGACTCACCTTCTCGGAATACAGTCGGAAGTGTTTGAAATTTTAATTTTTGCTTGAATAAACACGGGACTGACCCCTGTGTAGTTGGGGGGAGATGAGTTTAGGTACCTGCACTGGCCTACACAGGGTCAGCTTAGGTGACCTATACACAACTGGTCAGGCACTACGCACACTTTGCCACAATTGTGATCAGGTTGGTCTAGTAGACCTACACAGAGTCTGTTTAGCCCCCTGGGCACTCCTTTACAGACCTATACACACCTTTACAGACTGAGGCTAGGGAGCCCTTGAACACAGTGATTATATGTGTTATGCAAGAAGTCAATGACATTGTAGTAGTATGGGCGATATACTGTATAAAAATTACCTCGTGTTTACAGGGTTTTTGCAGACAGCTTACAACTGCGGTCCTGGGCCTGGATGACAACTTTCAAGAAAAGCGGACATCCTGGGATCTGGATTACATCTGGGCCTCGCTCGTAACGGGTAAGCATTGGACATATTTGGCAGGAGTAGTACCCACCTTCGTCACTTCGTTACTTCGCTTAGGAACGAGAGAGTTCA